CAATTTTATAGGCTTGCTCCGTTCCTGATCCCGTACTTTGACTGCTGGTTGCCCCTAAAGCATACAATAATACGATTCTTATAAGGTTATAATAGTTATTTCAAAATAAGGTTTGGATCCATTGTCGATGTTCCGAAAAATGGATGTTGTGAAATTTATTATGAATTTCTTCATGTCACACTATTCTTTATCAGCCTTTGTGTATGAGATGGATACCAATCTTCTCATGTCCTTTAGTAAATGAAAACATGTTTCCCTTGCATGCATCTGCAGGTCACATCAACAATAACTGGCCCAATTATAGTTGAGGACGTGATTTATGAAACTGTCGATGGTGATATCAGTCGCATTCTACCATCCAGAGATTTGACGTTTCGTCGCCTTGTTTTCCAAAGAAGTGAGGGTTTGGTTCAGTCTGAAGCTCTTCTATCAGAGGAAGGATCTAACAGTAAAGTTGTTGGTGAGACAGAGAGAAAAAAGACAAATTCATCTTCCAGATCTAAAAGAAAAGGAATCCAGAAAAGAAGTGGTGGTATTGAATCTATTGATCTGTGTCTTTGCCAATATAATTTGAATTGAGTTTCTCTCCTGCTGGTTTGTTTTGCTCCAATCATGAAATTTATATCTGCTCTAATATTAGTATCTTCTTAATTGTCTATTGGTGGAACATGAAAAAGCCTTATGCTGATTAAACAAAACCTTCGGAAAAACCTACCCGCATGATTTTTCACTTCTTCTGACAAACCCTTCTGAAAAACCTACCTCAAGTTCAAAAGAATATAGTATAATTCTTCTCAAAAACTAAATAGCATAGTGAATATACATGCATGTTGGAAACTTTTAAAAGTATCATTGCACCTGGTACTGGTGGGCTTGACACACGGAGTTGTAATTATCAAATTATTCTATTGTCATTGTTTTACCCATTGTAGTTTTGTAACTCTAACGTGTTCCATCAGCCTAATTGAAGATATTATTGTTTCTGCTGGTGTCCATTTTATCCTTTGCATTTTCCTCATTCAGTTTTACTTAATTTCGTTATTTTTAATTTGAATAATTTCGTTATTTTTAATTTGAAGAAACGAGCCACCAGCTGAAGGTCTATCATGGATATTTGGCTAGTTCTTACCATACAGGGATTATTTCTGGATTAATGTTGATCTCTTCTTATTTGGAAAGCATGGCATCAGCTCAAAAATCAGTAAGCATTGTATTTCTGACTATCTTTCAGTAAAAAGGTCTTGCTTGGTGGCAAAAAAAATGGATCGGCTTCTGGTTGCTTTATATTCAAAATGTGATTAAATAAAAAAGCTATTTTAATTTCCTCCTTAGCACCCTTCTAAAAATTTCACCTTTCCTCCTTAGCACCCTTTTAAGAATGTCACCTTTAGGAGTAATTTGAATGAGGAGCTCATACAGTATGGTGATTTTTCATCTTGGATTAGTAAAGTTTTGTTTAACTTCAATCCAGTCCAAGAAAAGAGTTAGTCTTCTCATGCCCGATGATCATGTTTTACTTTCTTTGTGTTTTAGTATTTTTTTTAAATGAAGTTTTTATTTTCTATAACATAAATTGAAAATTGTCAATCGTGTTCTGACTGTAGAAACATTTATATATGCATGGTGTTAGGCTTTAGTTTAATGAGGGCAAATTTTTATGTTCATCTATTAAATGTACCCATTCACACTGCTATATGCATTCTCAGGTTAAAGCAGTTGTAATTGGTCTTGGAGCAGGTTTACTTCCTATGTTCCTTAACAGATGTCTGCCCTTTGTGCACACTGAGGTAATTTTACGCTTAAACCATCTCCCAGAAGAAAAAAAAAAATCAGAGTTTCGATATCATCTTTGGTGATAAAACTCATTTAGTGCAAATGCAGTAATCACTTATTATTTGTACAGGTGGTGGAGTTGGATCCTGTAGTCCTCAAACTTGCAAAAGAATACTTTGGTTTTGTTGAAGATGATTGCTTACAGGTAGTTCACTGTACATCATACTTCTATTTGAACACACTATGGCACCCGCGCCCCCGCCTCCCCATTGTTGCCCTCAACGCTCAACTAATCACTGCTAATTTCTTTATTTTATATTTTCATTTGAAGTTTGTTTTTAATAATATGTCTGTTTTAGTGATTTTCAAGAAGGGTAAATTTCCATTAAAATCTGGGTGGGGAAGTAAATCTTTTGGGCGTGGAGATCACCTTTTTTTTAAATTTCGTATGCTTCTTTATGCTTGATTGCTGGACTCGAATTTATGGTTTAGTGTAAAGCGCTTCACTTGCATGTCAGTTTCAAATTATTCTCTGTACAATATTTGTGATAGTGTGTAAGAGTAAAACACTGACATAATCGAATTGACGACAATTGAGGAGAGAATCATATCAGTTAAGATGGACAAAAGATTGGAAAAACATATCTCTTTAAGTTTGGTGTTCTTTTGTTTCTTTGTTTTGGAATACACATTGAGAAAGCAATTAGACGCAAACATAGCTCCTGGACATATACACAACCTGTAAATGAGATTATACTTTGTTATCCTTCATATCTTGAAGTTGTATTGTACTCAATATGTATCACTTCTTAGATTTATTTTGGCATATCAGGCGCACGTTGCTGATGGGATTCAGTTTGTTAGAAATATTGCAAATTCTGCTGCTTCTGATGAAACTTCTCTTGTTCAAGACAAGAAGGATGCTCAATGCAACACTTCTTCCAATGGTGATTTCGAAAGCAGGGTGATTTCGAAGGTTGACATACTTATTATTGATGTGGATTCGGCAGACTCAAGGTGAATTCAGGCTGCACCTATTTTGCAAGTAAATGTATCCATATAAAAGGCAATCTGATGTTAAAGCCATCAAATTCTAATAAGTTTCATTTGTCATTTACAGCTCTGGGATGACCTGTCCTGCAGCAGATTTCGTGGACGAATCATTTCTTCAGACTGTAAAGGATGCACTTTCTGAGAAAGGTCTATTTATTATTAATTTGGTATCGCGGTCACAAGCCATTAAAGACACTGTTATTTCGAGGATGAAGGTGGTAAGAATAGGAAACTAATTTTCGTTATTGTTCATATAGAAATTCTCTCATCTCTTGTATCCAGTAGATTTGTCCTACCGATACATGTAGGCTTTAAAAGTCCTTTTTCAACTCACTTGAATTAAAAGAAAAAAAATTCAGTCCGACTCTGTAGGATTAGGATGGTGAAAAAAGATTGGCGCTGGTTGTTTTTCTGCTAAATCAAATTGGCTTGAAGGCTCTCGGTTTAATAATGTAGTGTTAATTTCAGTAAATCGTATTCCTGTTAGGTTGTCCACATGATAATGTGCTTGAATGGTGTTCACGTATTTCTGATCTGCAATTTAATTTTGTTCTTCAGGTGTTTAGCCATCTCTTCTCCCTTCAGCTTGAAGAAGACGTCAATGAAGTTATCTTTGGTCTTTGCTCGGCTTCTTGTATCGAGGAGGTTTGCTTCCCTGAAGCCGCTCTTCAACTTGAGAAATTACTAAAACTGGAACACCCGGAGATAAGCCAAAGCATTATAAATACTACGAAGAAGTTGAGACATTTGAAGTGACTCCAATTGATTGAAGTTTTCAGAGATGATGCCTCTAAATCATCATTGGCGCCCGCAACTCAACCACTCGTAAGAAGAGTCTTCAGGTTCAATTGAAATTCTGAGAGGATACTTGTAAGAATGTTCGCTCGAGCTGCGGATCGGTTCTCTTGTTCAGCTACTTGAATGCTTGTTTGGGTTACTCTGCCATCGAGATCTTGTGAGAATGATCTGTGTTGTCTGTACGAAAGTCACAAAATTATTGAGAAAAATTGGTTACAATTACAAAGACAAGACTCGTGCAATGAAACGAGATATCTAGATTGTTCCAATGTTGCTACATATATTTTCTTTCAAAGCCGGCCTCAATATAATGTTATCTTTCGTTAAAACCTCTTAAGTTGATATATGACAAATTGGCAGAAATGCATTCCTACAATCGGTAAATGTGGTACAAACAACAATATCGACTCCTTCCTTGTACATAAGTAGTCTTGTCCCACACAAGTTTGTTGACCCCTCTTTTTATCAAGGTTGGCAAATCTCTAGGTATACAAAACTCAACATTATCTATAATAACCTTTCTTTTATTTAAATATTTTTCATTATTTAAATTGAATGGGGAAGGATTATCGAAAAAAGGTTAAAATCTATCTCGGGCTAAAATTTTAAGTCATACCCATAGAATGAGAAAAGCTGTTTTTCGATTATGGCAATAATGTATTGTATTTATGTTGAGCTTTATACTTAGTGGCTGACTCATTGTGTGGTCTAGCTCAACGACGTATTGCATTTGTGTTAAGTTCGATACCTAATTAGTGATTGACCCATTGTGCAGCCTAACTCAATGCGGCCTAACTCAATCCCGCATGGAGTAGAATATCATTGTTTAAAAAGAAAAGAAAAAATAATTTTCCAACAATACTATTTTTACTTCTATATTTTTTTTTTCAATTTTATCGCATTCATATTGCATACTATATACATTCTTTTATATTTTTTTTTTCAAATTCCATATTCATTATATGCATACTATATACACCCCCCCCCCCTAGTAGAATGAAAAACATAGTCCAAGATCCAAAAATAATTAGATGGAATGTAATCATAAAATAAACAGAAAACTAATGAAAAATACTTGAAAATTTTGAGTTTTAATTAAAATGACAAAAAGGAGCTGTAAGTGTATAGTATCAGAAGTGACTTTTAAAAGTAAAAATGACATTTTTCGTTAAAATGAAAAGTATCAGAATTGTCTCGTTAAAACTCCCTAAAATAAAACTTCCAATAAAAAAAATTACTAAAATAAATAAATATAATTATTAAAGTCGTAATTCGCTTAAAAGAAAAAGAAAGAAAAAAAAATCACAGCAACCTCCGGTTCACACTCACCGACCGCGAACTCGATTCGTACTCGGCCCATCTGCATTTGACTTTTTCCAAAAAAAAAACTCCGGAAGAGAAAAAGGAAAGCAAAAACCACTCATCAGACTTGAATGTCTTTCTGTCTACAAAAGCCAACAACAATTCGGAATTGGATTTTCCAGGAAATCGCTTAACATAAAAGTGCTTCTTGATTTGTCTCAATCGCACAAGCAGAAATTCGGAAACAAAAAGGAAAGACAAAATAAAAAAAATAAAGAGAGTAAGAGAGATACATCGAACTTTCTCGGCGTTGTTGTATTTTGTCCCCCTTTCCTCGCCGTTCTTGTCCTTTTCTGCTTCGGCTTCTCTGTCTATATAAATCGATTTGGTTGCGTGAGAAGAACATTTCTGTTCTGCCCCTTTCGTTGTTCTGCTCCTCTCGCCGGTAAAGGTACGATTTTTATTTATTTTTTATTTTTTTTGAAGTATATTCTTGGGTTGAATCTTGATATTCTTGATGGATGATTTCTGGGTTTTGGGTTTTTTTTTGTTGTTTTGATTCATGGGTATTTAGTTTTCCAATTTGCATACACAACTTGTACATGTGTTTAGAACTTTGTATGTATGTATGTATATATGTATGTGTGTGTGTATATAGGTGGATATTGTATTGCTATTGTTTGATCGAATTGGAAGGATCGTTTTGCGTTGGAATCCCGATTGATTTAATCACTGAAACAATAAGGGGTTGATTTATTTCTGGTGGCACTAGGTTTATGGACTAATTTTGTTGTAAAAAGGCATACTATTGAATCTTGTATTGTAATAATGAGAGTTTATTATATCGAAAATAAATCAAATTAAAGAGAAAAACCCCTCTCTCGCGTACAATTGAACCGGAAAGCATTCCTAGCGGTGCCAGGAGTCAATCTATCCCAAAAGTAAGATTCTTTAACGTCGTGACCCTAAGTTGGTTATGGATTTCCCGGTAAACATGGTTCCTAGAGATACTTTGAAACTGTCTATGTAGAAATCTGATATCGTAAATCACTGTTTTTGGAAAGAGGTTTTGTTTTAAGGTAGCTCCGTTTCATTGGGTGGTGTAGGTGTCTGTCAGGTTTTGTGTTTGATTTGGATGATTGGATTAGAATTTGCAAAGTGGAAAATGTATTTGAAAAGTCGAGACCGTAGGTTGATGATCATTTACACATTGATGGTCTCCCATATATAAAGGAACACGTTACACTTATTAGAACTTTTTTAGCATGTTGTCTTACTTTATGATGTGGCTGCTTACATGACTCGTCTCACATTTTACTCACACCTATCTGTTCTTTGTATGTGTAGCACATAGCGCGAATCCCTTTCCGCAGAAGCATGGCCTCACACTCATTGGGGCAATCTACAGAAGGGAAAATGAGGAATTCTCAAAGGGGGAAGATGCCACTAATTGTGGACCTCAACTATCCAGCTCCTTGTGAGGACATGGTTCTAAATGCCAGATGTTCTTGGGACAATAGTCAACAAGTTCAGGTTGAAATATATGGTCGGTCAGAAGCACAAGCTTCAAATGATTGTGAGGTTGTCGATGATGAAGTTGTCATAATTTCCCCAAGGGTATATGCTCAAGTATGAGTTTTGGATTTCTTCTATTATCCATTTCTTTATATCTTGCATGATTTCTTTACGAGCATACTTATTGATTCTTTTTCCTGCTATCAGGCCAAGAATAACTCCAGGAGAAACCTTGAGGTGAGAGATGGGTCTGCTACAAACTCTGAAAGGCAAAATGGCCATACAGGTTAGGTTTCAAATGTATTCTTAAATCATGCTTTTATATGGTTTGATTTGAGTAGAATTGATTATTTTTTGAAATGTTTAGAAGATCCCTTTGTATGTGTGTGTTGTATTGTCCATAAACAAGAATTGTTGTGCTCTGAACAATGAATTTCTCGTCTTTGTTTGCCTGTGATTTTGTGGCAACCTGATTTCCTCAAACATTAGTAATTTCTGTTAGTTCCTCTAAACTCCTGTATACTGAAGTTGTTTTTGATGTATGGAGCAAGCTTTTTAAGATCCATTACTCTGCCATTATTCTGTATCTAAGCAATTCAGTATACCTTATTTTCCATTCTGATGCTTTAGGTTCTAATTTCTCAAGTTTGTTTCTTTTGACATCATTCATTCATTTGCCTCTAGGAAAGGATAAAAAAACATGGCCTTCCCTCTTAATCTTGATTTCTTTATGGTTCACTAGTTTTGAAATGGAATGGGGTACAGAACAGATGAAATTTAGGAACATAAATGAGTAAAGGATCGTCAACAAGGGTGTTCTAGTGCATTGTAGATGCTTATCCAAAACTTGTATCATTGTTTGTATGAACACCACATAGAAAGCAATTAAATTTGGGTGTGCAGTTTTTTCCCCTGCTGGTTCACACATGTTCTATTTACTTTTCATCAATATCTGAAGTAATTATTTCAAAGTGCACTTAGTGATTCTTGTGATTGTTTACATCAAAACCCTGAACCTTATCTGATACTTGTGATTATCTGTTGAAGTTTTAATTCATTAGTGCCATTTTTTAAAAGACATATCCTTTACACAAACACTTGTGTAATAAAGGAGGTCTTGAGCCTTGCTTTATTCTGCTCTGTTACTCTATGAAGTTTTTTTGGGCACTTCTCCATTACTTGAAGTCTCTTACATTTTCATAATTAATCATCAGATGTGCCTCCTCAATTACCTGTACCTCTACTTCCTCTTCATTGCCACAAGCGTAGAAGAACTTTACGAAATCAAGCAGTTTTGAATTGGGAGCATCATTTTAGCTTGGAAGACAATGACGAAAACAAGGTGATACGACAGTTTCCTTTCATGATATATTTTCATGTGGGATTATATGTTTTTAATCTTTTTCCATTGGTATTCTCATAAAAAAGTTGTCTACATTGGTGTCACTATCTTCCTTTGTCCTTTTTTTTTGTTTGTATTAGTATTTAGGTTGTTTTCTACATATCTCTAAACTTACGGATATTTTTATAAAGTTTAGAGCTCTGTTAATCAATTTGAGCATGGTACTGAAAATATCCTTGGAAAAATCAATTTTGGATAGAAGCTTGGAAGTACTTCAGTTTTAAAACTGCAGTGATGAACACAATCCTTAACGTAAATTTCAAAATAATTAGTCTCTAGAAAGTGTTAGAAGGCCTCATGATTCACTATTTTACTGAAGCGGAAGGTGTTAAAAAGTGTTGGTAAATAGCCTCTAGAAAGTGTTAGAAAGAGTCAGGTTCTGTAGAAATTCTACTTTTGATTAATTGGTTTCATGCGACCACTTAATCCACACAAAGCTTGGCGAGTTGTTCAATAATTATAGTTACAAACTCTTGAGTTTCATAAACTTCTCAGTCTTTATCAAGTTGCTAATTGTTTGTCAAAGTTTTATTGCTAAATCCGTGAATTTTGCTGCAGACAAAGGAAGTGTCTATTCCAGAACTTGCTGAGAACACGCCACCCCCAGAGACACCCTCCTTCAGCTGCCCAATATGCTTGGGCCCGTTGAATGAAGAAACCTCAACAAAGTGCGGTCACATCTTCTGCAAGATGTGTATTGAAGCCTCAATAAAAGTTCAGCACAAATGCCCAACTTGTCGTAAAAGGCTTAGAAAGAAAGACACCATCAGGATATACCTGCCTACCAAATGATTGCAGGGTACATTTCTTTCTTTAACGAGGCTGATTATTATTCTGACCTTCTAACTTCGAATAGATGATTTTGTTGTAAAACACTTGGCGAACCTTATTTTTCAAACTTAGGGTTCTTTATGAGCAATTATGTTAAACCATAGGCAGAAAATGAGGAAAGCCCTTCCCCCTTCATGTTTGTATTTGCCTATTCGTTGGAAATGCTTGATCGACGCTCCTAATTTTCATCGAGTATGGCTAATTGATTCCTCCCCGTTTCATGCAGGTGGATAGGTATCACAGGGAAAGGGCAATTTTGGTGAAGCTTGCACAATATCTATTGCTTTTCCTATACCTTATTAGGTTTGTCATTTCCTATGGGTCTTCTTCTTGTATTGGGGCTGCCTCGTTCTAGAATTTACAGGTTAACTAGCTCAGGCATATGTAAAGTTCAGAAACTCTCACATTTGCCAAAACTGTGGTGCCGGGCTTCGTCGAAATAGTTCCTTCATGACCCTATTCTTTTGGTATTCCGTTAGCAGACGGCAGGCAGCACTGTGCTGAACCATAATAGTAAGGAAATGTTTTGTCGACGAAGTGCTGCTTCTTGCTGTGTTTGTGAAAGAACAATAGTCTGTCTCTGTATTGGATTCTAATTGGACACTGCTATTTTTTTTTCCATTATTTTTTGTTTCGTTCTTGTGCCTGATTTATTAATTTCAAGGTTATGATTTTCGCACTCTTTTAGCCACTTACGCTCCAAATTGGATATTTTACGAGCTTTTCACTCCATGTTTATGAAGCGATGATTTTGAGATTTTTTGGGTTTCCCTGCCCGGTCTTTCCTATTGAGAGTTGTCCCACATCGGTGAGGGACAAGATTTGCTATGTGCTTATATGGTTTTGGGCTACTTTTTATATTGCCAATTGGTTTTATAGTAGAATCTCAATTTCATCATGGTATCAGAGCAAAGTTGTCCACATGTGAAGTCCAACGGCCACACGCGCTCTACGTCACCCAGTTGTTGTCCACGTGTAGGCATGAAAATTCGCCACGATGAGGGACAAGGTTTGCTATGTGCTTATATGGTCTTGGGTTACTCGTCATATTGCCAATTGGTTTTATGGTGGAACCTCAATTTCATCGTTTCCTTCTTGGGTTAAAATTCCTTTTGGTCACTCTAAATCTTAATCTGGTCGCTGTATTTGAGAGGTAAGTTACAAAATTTAAATTTCTAAGGAGAAAATAAGAGACATAAAAAATAGACCGTATTATAATGTTATAACTTACCAATCTCAAATATTTTCTTTATTTTTGTTATAAAAGTGGATGACTCACAGGAAGAATTATGCAACACCCACCGTCTTTTAACAGTCAACAAATGTTGAGGTTCTTTTTAGCCAACAAATGTTGAAGCTGTGTTGTCTACGTTCACATCTTTTGACCTTAACAGAGAAGATATAGTTTTCTTATGTACAAGCTTATCAGCTCACAAATATGCAAATAGGGAGTAGAGAAGAAAATATGCAATCTCTTGTTTCCATTGCCTTGTGTAATATCCATATGATAATAAGAGAGAATGTTACTGTTGCCTCGAAGACGTAGTCACTTATCGAACCTTGTAAATATTATGTCTTGTTTACTTTATATTACACTGCACATATACTATTGATTTCACAACAATTATCTTATTTTTGGACAATTTTTTTTTTTAAAGGTATTCATATTCACACAGTACTCAATTTTCTCGGCTGCATCGAATGAATTGAATAACATAGTAACAAAGGTGTTTGGGGAGGGAGAAAATTTGAATGTCGGGAACCAGCATTAGCAGCAAGATCAACCCTTTCCATGGCGACGACGGCATCTTCATCCTCCTCTCTCTGTTTCACAAACACAAGACCCTTCACCATTTGAAGCAAATTCACTCCGTCCTCGTCACCGCTGGCCTCTCACACAACTCTTTCTTCCTCGACCAACTTGTGACTACCATTGCAGCATCTCAGCCTACCCATCTCGCCTACGCTTCGCTACTTGTCGACCGCATCGAAGCACCCGTCACTCACCTATGGAACTCCATCATCAGAGCATTCTCTGCGAGTTCAGAGCCTCAGAGGTCACTCCTTTTTTACGCAAAAATGCGCACGACTGGCGTTGCTCCGGACAAGCACACCTTCCCTTTGCTTCTCAAGTCATTTTCCAAGTTGAAAAACGAAAACCCATTTCAGTTTTACGCTCAAATAGTTAAGTTTGGATTGAGTTCTGACCAATTTGTGAAGAATTCGTTGATATCTGTGTTTTCTGGTTGTGGGTGCTTAGAGTCTGCCTGCCAGGTGTTTGATGAAAGTACCCAGAAGGATGTGATTTCTTGGACTGCATTGATTGACGGGTATGTCAAAAATGATCGGGCTGTGGAAGCAATGAAGTGTTTTATGGAGATGAGATTGATGGGAATTAGAGTCGATGAGGTGACGATTGTTAGTGTTCTTTGTGCTGCCGGAATGGCTGGCGATCTTTGGTTCGGACGCTGGCTTCATGGGTTCTATGTGGAAACAGGTAGAGTACAATGGGACGTCTACGTTGGTAGCGCTCTACTGGATATGTACATGAAGTGCGGCTACCATGACGATGCTCGTAAAGTTTTTAAAGAATTGCCGAGTAAAAATGTAGTTTCTTGGAGTGCTTTGATAGCAGGTTATGTGCAGTGTAAGAGATACAAAGATGCATTGCTAGTTTTGAAATACATGCATTCAGAACATGTTAAACCTAACCAATTTACATTGACGAGTGTGCTTACCTCTTGTGCTGACTTAGGGGCACTGGATCAAGGTAGGTCGGTTCATGGCTATATATATAGGCATAAGATACAAGTGAACTCATTACTTGGAACGGCATTAGATATGTACACGAAATGTGGGTGCCTTGGTGAAGGTCTATCCATTTTCCGAAAGTTGCCAACCAAGGACGTCTTTGCTTGGACCGCCGTAATTAGTGGTTTGGCAATGGGTGGTAATGCTTTAGATGCTTTGAACTTCTTCTCGCGTATGTTACAGAGTGCGGTTCTGCCTAATGAAGTTACATTCATTGCTGTTCTTAGTGCTTGTTCTCATGGAGGTCTTGTAGACGAGGGGATGTAAGCTTTTTGGATCGATGAAGGAGGTTTTTCATTTGGAGCCTAATGTAGATCACTATGGTTGCATGGTTGATTTACTCGGAAGGGCTGGGTACTTGGAGGAAGCACGAAAAGTTATCGAGGACATGCCAATGGTGCCTTCAGCTGGTGTATGGGGAGCTCTGCTCGGTGCCTGTATGATTCATAAGAATTTCGAGCTAGGAGAACTCGTTGGAAATCATCTGATCAAGCTACAGTCCGATCATAGCGGAAGATATGTACTTCTGGCAAACTTGTATTCGACATGGAATAAATGGGAAGCAGCTTCTGGCATAAGGAAGCTCATGAAAGGGAAACGCGTCGAGAAGATAACGGGGTGTAGCTGGATCGAAGTGAATGGTGCAGTTTTCGAGTTTACTGCATTCGACGAATCGCATTCTGAATCGGATGATATATATGTGATGTTGGACAACATGTTCTTCCAACTGAAACGGGCTGGTTATGTTCCAGATGCTAACCTATTTGGGTTTGACATTGATGAAAGTTGACGAGGGTGATCACTGGTCAGATTTGAACTTTTATTGCAGTCAAAATTCAGTGCGAGTTTGATAAGATAAAAGAAAAGGAAAACCAAGGATAAAATCCCTATTACTAATTAAGATTAGTAATTAAGGAGCAAAAATGCATGTGCGGTGCTGCGGGTTTTAAAGACCATTTAAGATGATTCTATTGCTTGAATACATGTAGTTTCATATTCAATTTAACCAAATAACGTTAAAACTGTTTAAAATTCACCAAATAGCGTCGCACACATTTCTAGAGCTTCAACTATGCAAAGTTGAAATTAAATTACAAAACAATACCAAAGTTTTAACCAAAAGAAATGTAACAACATTATCATTCATTGTTCAAATGAAAACCCGACAACTTCAAGTATAGCCCTCACAAACTTGTACCTAGCTTATATAATAAGAAATGTGACGAGTAATATGTCCTTAAGCAATTTGGGCTAGAAATCAGTTGAGTTTAAGTTGAAATTGGTGGGCAAAGCATCAACCCGATCCAACCAATACATAATTGTGTTGAAGTCAGTTTAGATTTGGAAGGATTTTTACTTTATTCTAACTAGCTAGGTTGGGTTTGAAATCGAGTTGGCATGAGCGCCGAGTTGATCTAACCCAAATTGCACCCCTGTACGAGAAGAAAAATGTTGTTGCTTTCTTTTCAAATCCAATAAACGTCAGAGTAAGATTATCCTCCCTTTTTCTTTCTCCCCTTCTCTCCCTCCTATTTAAACGGTTACGACCAAACGACATCAACATTTTGTTTGAATTTTTTATAGAGAGAAAAAGAAAAAAAAAATGAAAGTGTGAGAGGAGAAGAGGGAAGGAGAAGAAAATAGGAGGGGAGATAATCGTATTCCATAAATGTCGGACAACCCAGAAATTGGAGTATTTATTTTATTTCCTCTTATATCAATTCTTGAAGGTGGTATTATCCACACACCAATTTTTACCTCTCACACACCCCTCTCAATTTTCGGCCGTCGGATCGAATGAACTAAAGATGATCAACAACAACAACAACAACAAAGCCTTTTCCCACTAAGTGGGGTCGGCTATATGAATCCTAGAACGCCATTGTGCTCGGTTTTGTGTCATGTCCTCCGTTAGATCCAAGTACTCAAGTCTTTTCTTAGGGTCTCTTCCAAAGTTTTCCTAGGTCTTCCTCTACCCCTTCGGCCCTGAACCTCTGTCCCGTAGTCACATTTTTGAACCGGAGCGTCAGTAGGCCTTCTTTGCACATGTCCAAACCACCGGAACCGATTTTCTCTCATATTTCCTTCAATTTCGGCTACTCCTACTTTACCTCGGATATCCTCATTCCCAATCTTATCTTTTCTCGTGTGCCCACACATCCCATGAAGCATCCTCATCTCCGCTACACCCATTTTGTGTACGTGTTGATGCTTCACCGCCCAACATTCTATGCCATACAACATCGATGGCCTTATTGCCATCCTATAAAATTTTCCCTTAAGCTTCAGTGGCCTACGACGGTCACACAACACGCCGGATGCACTCTTACACTTCATCCATCCAGCTTGTATTCTATGGTTGAGATCTCCATCTAATTCTCCGTTCTCTTGCAAGATAGATCCTAGGTAGCGAAAACGGTCACTTTTTGTGATCTTCGCTAGATTGCTCCGGTCATTAGTGTGGATAAGTATATAAAATGGATAGAGATAGGAAAGCAAACACAAGATGTACGTGGTTCACCCAGATTGGCTACGTCCACGGAATAGAGGAGTTCTCATTAATTGTGAAGGGTTTACACAAGTACATAGGTTCAAGCTCTCCTTTAGTGAGTACAAGTGAATGATTTAGTACAAATGACATTAGGAAATATTGTGGGAGAATGATCTCGTAACCACGAAACTTCTAAGTACCGGAGTGTGGTATCGTCTTGACTTGCCTTATCTGTCTCATAGGTAGATGTGGCATCTTCTCTGGAAGTACTCTTCCTCCATCCAGGGGTGGTATCTGTAACTGGTGGAGATGCACAAGGTAATGTATCAATTTCACTTGAAGCTTACTTGTAGTTTCAGGCTTGGTCAAGCGCGATACAAACCATGTAGTAGGAGTCCCCCAAGTCGCCGAGCTAGGGGATCTGCTGAAAGAGGTGACAGACAAGGTAAGCAATCAGAGCTCCGGCTGATTGTTCACATTCTCCCTATCTTGCAGGCAGCATGAAGGATAAAGAGAAGAAAAAATGAGAAGAGATGATATGGGATACTTTTGCTTTTGAAGAAGTAACTTTCCACAGGCTTATTCTTGAACTGGGCTGGAGGGTTTTCTGGTTTCCTCCAGAGTATAAGGCCGACTGAAGAATTTGAGGGTCAAAACAAGTCCATCAAATCTAGAGTACGTTCGACCCTGCTGATATGGGATACTTTTGCTTTTGACAGAGTAGTGGATGTATCGGCACGTGTGCTGTTACGCTTGTCTCCACATGCTTCCTTGTATCCTTCTCACTTGCCCTATCTGTTCCTCAGGCAGATGCGGTATCTTCCCTGGAAGCATAAGATGTTGAAGATGAGTACTCGAGAGCAATGCCAGGTAAGTAATCAGGTAAGGGGTTCCAGGCAGTCAGTTCCTGGCTGGAAGCTTGATTCCAAGTGCTGACTGATTGCTCTCTTTCTCCTTGTCTTGCAGGTAAGAACAAGGCCAAAGGAAAAGACAGGGAAAAAGCATGATATGGGATACTCTTGCTTTTAACCCTGATGATATGAGATATTCTTGCTCTAGTATAGCTTGTTTACAGAGGTATTATCGGGGGGAAAGAAAGCTGAATATTTCGAAAGGCTTCGTTGGGAGTGCCCTCTCAGATAAGAGGAAAGGGTTGAGCATTTTTGCAGGTCTGCCTGTCCGTTGGGGATGGAGGTCGACATATATAGGAGTCTCCCTAACATCAAGTAATAATGCTATTCCTTTACCCTGCTTGGTCATAGCACGGTAGTGGGAGCTGCCAGCTTCACATGTTTTAACTCTGTCAGAGCACTTTGAAAAAGTGGTCTGTGGTATCTGGAAAGCTGATGTTGCGTGTGAAGATTACAGACAAGCTTTATCCAAGGAGATCCAGCTCTTGAAGTTGGGAAAGTGGTGCCTCTTCGGTTTTCGAACAAGCAATCCTGTCGGGGATCTGGCTCTCGAGATTCGGAGAACGATGCCTCTTCGATTTTTGAGAAAGCAATCCTGCTGGGGGTCTGGCTCTCGAGATTCGGAGAGCGGTGTCTCTTCGATTTTTGAGAAAGTAATCATGTTGGGAGTCTGGCTCTCGAGATTCGGAGGGCGGTGCCTCTTCGATTTTGGAGCAAGCAATCTTGTTGGGAGTGTTTTCTCGAATGTGAGTAAAGGTTGGGCATGTTTGCTAGTCTACCTTGCCACGAAGCACAGAGGTTGACACACAGGGACTTTCCAATTATCCAGCAGTGGTACTGTTCCTTTACCCTCTCTTCGATTTTTGAGAAAGTAATCATGTTGGGAGTCTGGCTCTCGAGATTCGGAGGGCGGTGCCTCTTCGATTTTGGAGCAAGCAATCTTGTTGGGAGTGTTTTCTCGAATGTGAGTAAAGGTTGGGCATGTTTGCTAGTCTACCTTGCCACGAAGCACAGAGGTTGACACACAGGGACTTTCCAATTATCCAGCAGTGGTACTGTTCCTTTACCCTCTCTTCGATTTTTGAGAAAGTAATCATGTTGGGAGTCTGGCTCTCGAGATTCGGAGGGCGGTGCCTCTTCGATTTTGGAGCAAGCAATCTTGTTGGGAGTGTTTTCTCGAATGTGAGTAAAGGTTGGGCATGTTTGCTAGTCTACCTTGCCACGAAGCACAGAGGTTGACACACCGGGACTTTCCAATTATCCAGCAGTGGTACTGTTCCTTTACCCTTGTGGGTAATAATATGGTAGCTAGACCTTCAAAATTTATGTGTCTAAACTTTGTTAGTGTTGTTTCTTTGCTATTCTTTTACCCTTCTTGGTCAGAGCGATGTAGTGGGAGCTGCAAGCTTCACGTGTCTCAACTTTGTCAGAGAACTTTGGCAAAGTTATCTGTGGTACCCATGAGCTACTGTTGCGTGTGGGAAGTGGGTGATTGAACAGTACGATTCATGTGCTTTCTACTTCGCCAGAAATCTTCGACAGAATGCCCATAATTTCCGCAAAGCTGAGTGTGCGTGTGACAGGTGCTGACAAGGCTGGAAAAGTAGGTGCCTCTTCGATTTCTGAGATCGGCCCTCGTGGTCTCTGAGCAGCCCAGCTTTTGAGAAAGCAAGCCTCTTCGATTTCTGAGATCGGCCTTCGTGGTCTTTGAGCAGCCCAGCTTTTGAGAAAGCAAACGCCTCTTCGATTTCTGAGATCGACCCTCGTGGTCTCTGAGCAGCCCAGCTTTTGAGAAAGCAAACGCCTCTTCGATTTCTGAGCAGGCGCCTCTTCGATTTCTGAAGCTTCGTCGAGTGCAGATTTTTATAGGGGCTGACATTAAGTTCCAAAGCACACTTGAATATCCACCAGTAGAAGCTCCATTCTTGCACTTCTAAGATCTTGATTTGTCCGACCTCTTCTCTCTTCAACACCTTTGAAAATGTCTGGCCCCTCCGACCGTCGTTTTGACTTGAACCTTGTTGAAGAGGCAGCCCCGCCTTCTCCAGACAACATATGGCGCCCATCCTTCGTCTCCCCTACTGGTCCTCTTACCGTTGGGGATTCCGTGATGAAGAATGATATGACCGCTGCGGTAGTGGCCAGGAACCTTCTCACTCCCAAAGATAACAGACTACTTTCCAAACGGTCTGATGAGTTGGCTGTTAAGGATTCTCTGGCTCTCAGTGTTCAGTGTGCAGGTTCTGTGTCTAATATGGCCCAACGCCTATTTGCTCGAACCCGCCAAGTTGAATCATTGGCGGCTGAAGTGATGAGTCTCAAACAGGAGATTAGAGGGCTCAAGCATGAGAATAAACAGTTGCACCGGCTCGCACATGACTATGCTACAAACATGAAGAGGAAGCTTGACCAGATGAAGGAATCTGATGGTCAGGTTTTACTTGATCATCAGAGATTTGTGGGTTTGTTCCAAAGGCATTTATTGCCTTCGTCTTCTGGGGCTGTACCGCGTAATGAAGCTCCAAATGATCAACCTCTGATGCCTCCTCCTTCTAGGGTTCTGTCCAGTACTGAGGCTCCGAATGATCCCCCTCCGGTGCCTTCTCTTTCTGGGGCTCTACCGACTGCTGAGACTTCTCCTAAGCAACCTTTGTGAAGGCTCCCTCTTGTTTGTTTATTTTGACTCAAGTATATGTACATATTTGTAACTTATCGGGGATATCAATAAATAAGCTTTCCTTCATTTCAACGTATTGTGTTAAATACACCAAAGCCTTCTTCGCTAAGTTCTTTGAATTTTCTTTTGTTGAAGCTTGTATGTTGAAGCTTTGTGAGTGGAGCATGTAGTAGGTTGAGGTAGTGTTCCCTTAATTTCCCGAGTGAGGAAAACTTCTCGGTTGGAGACTTGGAAAATCCAAGTCACTGAGTGGGATCGGCTATATGAATCTTAGAACGCCATTGTGTTCTGTCCTGTGTCATGTCCTCCGTTAGATCCAAGTACTCTAAGTCTTTTCTTAGGGTCTCTTCCAAAGTTTTCCTAGGTCTTCCTCTACCCCTTCGGCCCTGAACCTCTGTCCCATAGTCGCATCTTCTAATCGGAGCGTCAGTAGGCCTTCTTTGCACATGTCCAAACCACCGTAACCGATTTTCTCTCATCTTTCCTTCAATTTCGGCTACTCCTACTTTACCCCGGATATCCTCATTCCTAATCTTATCCTTTCTCGTGTGCCCACACATCCAACGAAGCATTCTCATCTCCGCTACACCCATTTTGTGTACATGTTGATGCTTCACCGCCCAACATTTTGTGCCATACAGCATCGCCGGCCTTATTGCCGTCCTATAAAATTTTCCCTTGAGCTTCAGTGGCATAAGGCGGTCACACAACACGCCGGGTGCACTCTTCCACTTCATCCATCCAGCTTGTATTCTATGGTTGAGATCTCCATCTAATTCTCCATTCTTTTGCAAGAGAACTAAAGATGATCAATGGACAAAAATTAATAAGAGTGTGTGAGAGGTAAAAAAAAAACGTGAATAGCACTACCCATCCTGAATGACATGGAGACTTAGCACCATCTCACAAGGCCCAGCCCAAGCCCAAATTGTTTGGGCTTTATGTGTCGATAAAAAAAAGGAGCCGATCCAAATGGGTCGTTAGAGAATCCAAATTCAAAAGTGCAGCAGAGCGTCACAAGGAATGCGCTGAAGAGCGGGAAGAAGAAAACAGGAAAGAAATGATAAGACGCTGAAACGGAAACCCAAAAAAAATTCCCAAAAAAAACTGTTCGAACAGAAAACGAAGCAATTAATTAATTAAATAAAAAAATAAAAGAGGAAGAGAAAGAGGAAGAGAAGAGAAGAGGAGAGTGAGTGAGCGATTAAGCGTAAATCTGTATGTAAACATTGATTTTGTTTCCTAAATAAGTTATTGGGTTTTTGAATTCCAAGAAATAGTTTGCTCAATAAATTCAATGACCCGTCTTTCTTCCAGATTCACCGTTTCTCTCTCTACCTTGCCTTTCTCTCTCTACAGACCACAGGTATGCCTTCTTCTTCTTCTTCTTGTTTCTCTTCTATGTATTTGAGGGGAGGATTTTGGATTCTGGGTTTTGATTTTATTCGCTGTTTAATCTATTTTTTTTTATTTTTTATTCTCCATTTATGTGTTTTTTTTTTACTGGGTTTACTACAATTTATGTGTTTTTGTTCTATATTTAGTCTGTTTGATTCAGGGTTTATGAAGAATTGACGCAAAACCGAGCTCAGTAGCGTTGTAGAATTCATAGAGCCAGCCCCAATCACTGGGATAAGGTTCGGTTGTTATTGTTGTATTAGTCTGTTTAATGTTTATTTGAGGACGAAGAGAAATTGAAACCAGGGAACATGCTGTCTTTAACTTTTGAATGCTTTCTGATTAAATTTGTTAAAGAATTTTATGATGCTTTTAATTAGAATTTGTTGTAATTTTCAAGACCGATGTTTGAGACCCCTTTTTCTGTTTTTTTTTCAATGGTAATTTCAAAACGAGAAATTGAGCACCAAATTGAAGAACATAATAACGAACCGGATAGAAAGCGAAAATCTATTTATTTTGAAATATATTTCTAGTAATTAGATGAACTATCATGGGGAAATTTGATCGTAATCTCAGAATTGGTCATCTTTCGTTTCTGTTTTTTTATTCGAGCGATATTCTTATATTAGTATGTGTTTTATGAATGTTAGGGTGTGAATTGAAGACTAGTGATATATCAGCCTGTCAGCATGAGTACACAAGGATCTAGTGCATATCGACAATGGAATCTAAGAGATGCTCAAAGGGGAGGCATGAGAGATTTGGACCTCAATTATCCGCCTCCTCGCGAGAACATGGCTCCGACTGGTCCATTGCGAATACAAGCTCAAGGAAGTGGACATTCTCAAGGACAAGCAACAACCGTTGCGGATCTTGTTGATGATGATGATGTTGTTGTAATATCACCAAGGAAGTTTGAAGAAGTATGATTTTAAATTTGAAGAAGTATGAATTTTATCTTTAACATTACATCTTATACAAAAACGTTTAGAGTTGATTTCGATTATCTTGTATGTGTGAAATAATGTAGGCGAGGAATAATGCTCGAAGAAATCATTCTCGAAGAAACGGTAGAGTCATAGAAGGTTTTTCTGAAGGTGAAAATTCTTAATAGTTCTCTTATGTATGTTGTATTTTGCCTTGTGCTTGCAATTCTTACATTATCCAAGCATAAAAAGTTCAGTTACAATTCGCTATTTCTTTACATATATTTAAGATTTATGCCTTGTTAGGTATCTTGCTTCTGATATTTGTAAATTTTTAGTTAGGGTTCATACCCAGTTCCGCAACAATGAATGATGTTTGATGTACCATCCAAAGTTCGTTATGTCTTATTTAAGTTTGCTTGGTTGCACTGACCTACTGATAATATACTATCGACAGAATTGACAAATTGGTGCCAACTTGGAGATCTTGGAGCTTTCAACTGGGAGCTTTCCTTCAATTTCGATTTCATCAACAAAGCAGAGGATACTGTTAGAAGCCTCCCTCATTTATTTCGATGCTATTTCTGTGATTTCTGATATTCATTTCTTTTGTTATGTTTATTTAGTTTAGCATATTGAACACTTGTGCTGGACATATATCATAGAAGTATAATACAAATGACTGATTCATCGGACTAGTCCAGATTATGTTGTATGACTTATCGTTTTTAAGAGCTCATGTTTATGAGTTCTATTATCCAACCACCAGATTGGTTTAAGTTTCTGGAACTAACCTTGGAAGTTTCTGATGGCAGATACATAGCGTTTCAGTGACTCCAGTAGCGCCCCAGACCCAGAGTGTGCCCCCGCCAGAGGCACCTACTTTCACTTGTGCAATATGCATGGGCCAGTTGATTGAAGAAACGTCAACAAAGTGTGGTCACATCTTCTGCAAGGAGTGCATTGACACAGCCATAGCTACTCAACACAAATGCCCTACCTGCAGGCATAAACTTAGAAAGCGAGACACCATCAGGGTCTACCTTCCAAGCAGCAGTTAAATGGATTTTGTACCTCCTAGCAGCGGAATTTTAGAGGTGGTGCAACTGTTCTTGTTTTTCTCAGTTTTGGTACAAAATCTCATTGATCAAAATGCTTTTGTTTTGTAATCTCTCTCTCTCTCTCTCTCTCTCTAGATTTTGACTGCATCAAACTAGAAGCTTTCTCTTTGCATATTTGTTGTTTTATTCGATCTAAACGTATGATATCCACTGAAGGTGAACAGCATTCCTAATTTAGTCTAATCCATATAACCACCGCCTTATCTTCACGCAGGTAAATGTCTCTATTCTTAGGCATTGCTAGTTGATCTGACAGACACACACAGCGGTTCAGCTGCCCAAGGTTGCGAATCTTAGGTTTCCAGTCGAAGACATTGGTTTTTCAAGTCTCCACAGTTTCCGTTTTGAGCTTTCCTTCGATAGTTGTATGGATTTATTCAGTTGTTCCGCTGCTGGGATGGTTTCGGTTTAAGATTTAGTTTCGAAAACAGGCTTAGATGTTGTTATCCTTAGCTTCTTACATTTTGTTACAGGCAGAAGAACTGGGAAGGCTGCCACTGGTGGTTGTGGTCTTCCAACATTTTTTTGTAACAATGTAATTTGGCCGTCGGTATAAATGGAAGTTTTGACAACAAATTTTTTTAACCTGGTTTGAGCATGTTGAGAGACTAGACCTGTCAATGAATCGGATTTTGAACGAATACAATATTCATGTTACTCAATTGACAATAGTAAAGTATGTTTCTCTCCCCTATATCCTGGATGCTCTAACGTTGGTATTTGAAGTCAATCATGCAATTTAAGTAATAAAATTTTAAATCATAGTGCGTCATTAACATGGGTTATCGGCAATAACATTCTAAATTTGACTATTAAACGGCATTTATAAAAAAAAATGTAACCTTCAAGAAGTGCTTAAGTTTAAAATTGCTGTGACGTAGTTTAAATGAGTTTAGTATACACTATTTTTACCATGCGTAAAAGTGCTTAAGTTTGAATCCTTTGTGACTTAAATATACACTTATCTAAATTATGAAGAATGAAAGAATTTGAATCTGGAACGTAGTGGGTTGAAAAGGCATATGTATTTCACATGCACATATCCAATAAATTTAGTGAAGCCCAACTTTCTAGTAGCCGGCCCAATTCCTTAAGCCCATAATTTGAGGCGTCCCTTTTTTTTTTTCTTTCGGTTAATATCAGCAGCTTTTCAATTTCGCAATTACTCTTCTCAAATTTTGAATTTGGCTGCTCCATTTCTGTGCACTCAGAGGGCGGGAGCGAGAGCGAGAGAGAAGAAGATGGAAGATCCAATTTCTTCTTCAGAACCCCTCGACCTTATCACCATTCAGAGGTCTCTCTCTCTCTCTCTCTCTTCTTTTTTGTTTATTTTCTGAATTATTGTGGTTTAATTTTGTAGACAAGTGAGAGAGCTGGAAGAGGTTCTCGACCAAGATGATGCCTCAGAATTAACCCCTTCAGAGTCTCAAGATTTACTCAGAGACTGCGGCCTCCTCCTCCAGGTTTTCTCGAAATTTTGCCCACTTTTTCGTCCAATTTGCTACCATTCTTCACATTTCCCTCACCCTCCATATGATTCTGCAGAGCAGACTTGAACAGATAGTGTCGGAATGTTCAGATGTCGGTCTCTTGGAGGATCAAGATTATGGTAGTTAACCCTTTAATCTCTCTGTGTTTGTGTTGAATTTTAGTGGGCAATCGATTTTTGTAAGTGGGTTTGTGACATTTGATACTGTAACTTACTGCACAATGTGATTTGTCCAATTTTTGGTAGAAGCGTACTTGGGACGTTTCGAGCAGGAGCTCAACTCTGTGCAGGCTGAGAGCACCAAGGTCTCCAATGAAATCGAGGGTCTTGTTCGAACGCACGAGGAAGGTGAAGATTCGGTGTGATGTTGCACGCCAATGTGCTCTGTATGGTGTTTTCTTTGTTTTTTTTACTTTTTTTGACCTTTTCTTTTGTGTATGCAGATTTTCATCGACTTGATATTGATCTTGCGCAGTTGAAGTGTTCATTGGATTTTGTTGCAAAAAAGGTTGGTTTCTGTGGATGAAACAGTATTAATGCTTCGATTCAGTCTTTGGTTGTATGACAAGTTGTGCCAGTCCATTTGGTTGATACAAATGAGTTTGAATGGAGATCTATAATTTGTTTTTACTCGTGAGTCTGTGGATATACATGTTGAATTGGATTACAATTATCATGCTGTATGATATTGTTATTTAGCTCTTTATTGAAATACTATGTGTAGTCCATCTTAACCACAGTGTTCCAGTTGCGCAAAGTTCCCAGATTTCTGTGTTGTAACTTGTAGGACTTTATGCTTTCTGTGATATCTTGTTAATTCTCTCTTAGTCCCTTTCTTTTTCTCACTTTTTCTTCACTAATCCAGCTTATGTATATGATATCTTTCTTCCCGCAATTTGCAAAATTTTGAATCTATTTGGAAATCACATATGAAGTCTCTCCAGAGAATATCTGTGTCTCATTTGCAGGATCTGGAGAAAGAAAAGCAGGATGCAGATGTAAATTACATTAAAAACGGGAAGGATCAGTTGGATCAAATGAAGGTGAATCCAGATAAATTCGAGGTTTCATTAACCATCTTATAACATCATTCTGTTTACTTCTAGGGTGCTTAGATTATTATACATACGGACTTTTTGTGGTTGTGTCTTGACTCTTATGTAAGGAGTTCGTTTATTTGAGAAATTTCCATTACCCTTTCACCATTTTAAGGTGTTATGTGTTTAACTTGCAGGTACTTGAACTTGAAAACCAGATTGAGAAGACCAGTAAAATTTTGAAGTCTTTACAGGATTTGGAATGTGAATTTAAATGGTAACTTGCCACTCTGTCCTTGGTTACCATGCATTATATGTGGTGGTTTTATTTTATGATGATATAGTTATGAACTATTCTTTTATATCATATTTGATTTGTTTAATTGATGTAGGCTTGATGACACAGAAAAGATTGAGGATGAATTTACAGGTCTTAAGGTCATTTCTTTTGGGGAAAACTGTATTCGATTGTCACTTAGGACGTACATTCCAAAGCTAGAAGAACTTGTGCCCCAACAAAAAATTGCTGATGCCACTGAGCCTTCTCATGTGAATCATGAGCTACTTATTGAACTTCTGGAGGGGACTCTGGATTTAGGGAACGTTGAGGTATCACAACATGAGATTATCTCGACTTATTTTCTTCATGAATATTGTTGTTCAATAGTGTTTAGAATTAGAGGCATTACTTTAACATCAAAGCAATTATAGGTCTTAATAATGTTAAAAAAATCTTTGAGAAAGCTAATCAGGCTTGATCCATTATAACGAACCTTGTAAGCATGAAATATATCTTGAGTTTTAAACTTTTAAAAAGTCAACCACTTTGCTTTCACTGGTTGTTTGTGTGGTCAACATCTTGTTATTTGTTTTTGTGAAATTTTGCGGACCAATTTTTTTTCTGCAGACATAGGGTTTACAAGAGTTTCCCAGTATCTTGTCTCTTGTAATATGTGCCCTTCCACTATACAACAATTTTGTATATTAGGAGTTTTGCCCTCGTTTGTACATAAAAACCAGCCATCGGTGCATTGTGTATCACCTTTTCTACACTTTTTGAGGGTGGTATACCTGTATTTGATATAAGGGCTACATCTTGGTCGATCTTTTAAGTGAATTGCTAATGCTCTTGTGTTTAATATAGGCATTATACTATAGATCTTTTAAATGAATTGCTAATGCTCCTTAATTTGTACAGATTTTTCCAAATGACGTATACATAAATGATATTCTTGATGCTGCAAAGTCTTTGAGGTTTGTTTAGTACCTGTCTTATGATTTTGTAACATTTCATTGTTTCATTCTTGCTGTCATGGTTTATTTGTCTGTTGTTTCTCTTTTTGCTAGTGCAATTGTTATTTTCAATAATTAAATGGCATGTAGTAATTACAAATCATATAAAGATATCTTGATGGTTAGACGGGAAAATAAAGTATCAGATATTATCATGAACAGGGTTCTCCAATTCAGAACCTGGCAGACAGCAGACACTATGGAGCTGATCATGATTCACAACACACACAGCCTTACATTGCTGAGACATATTCTTGAACAGATTTCTCTTTCTATAGGTTTTAATTGATTTAGCCTTTGATAACATATATATTTGTCTTAAGCGTGTTCTCTTTTCCTACCACATGACTGGATAGTAGTTGCTGCCTTTGCTATCTTGATATACTTGTTGCATTGGCTCATGTTTATCTGCTGTACATGGAAATGAAAACGTAAGGTTTATTTAAATATTTGTCTTAGTATAAATATAAGACGACCTTATATCTATTTACTTTCCCACCAGAAGGTGAGGTTTTGTAAAACAAAATTAACCAGCATATTATTTGATACAAATCATGAAATCCACTTTGCAGTAAATCTTCATTGCAGTGGTTTGTAACAAAAGTGCAAGATAGAATTGTTCTATGCACCATGAGGCAACTAGTGGTAAAAAATGCAAATAAATCAAGGTGAGACTTCTTCTTTAACAATTTTGTCCATGTATGTTTTATGCTCTAAATAGTGTCCGACATAATTCAATTCAATGTTTTCACTAACTTTTCGTAATAATGTTATATAACAGTTATTTTGTAATGTTTTTGTCCTTGTCTCTAGTTTGTTTTCAAAGTCGTTTAAAAATTAAAAGTGAAGAAATCCAAATTGTTTTTAGTTTTGCAAACGTTTATATCTGTTCTTTTTTGCTCTCCTTTCTCTTTCCTTAATTAAGACAATATCACCCAAAGAGTAGTAAATCTTCAAATGTTTTGACACAAACATTATTCCATACAGACACTCGTTGCAGTACTTGGATAAAGATGAGACAATAGTAGCTCATGTGGTTGGAGAAGTTGATGCATTCATTAAGGTTCCACAAGGTTGGCCATTGCTAAGTTCTCCACTGAAACTGATATATCTGAAGAGCTCTGATCAACATTCAAAGGGAATTTCTTTAAGTTTTCTGTGCAAAGTTGAGGTCAGTGTACGCCTCCTTATCTCTCGTATTAGGTCTTTGTGTCCTTCTGGTGTACGTAAGTTTCGTCCAGGAGTTTCTTATTAAGTTATAATATGCATGCCCACATTTGTGTTATCTGCATCTCGGACCGCAATGTAATCAAAACAGTAGAAATTGTGGATTCATTTTTAAGCAGGTAAAACCCAAAATGTGCAAGAAGTATGTGTTAAAAAAGTGTAAACAACAAAAATAAGAAGACATGTACAAGAAATAAGGTAGAATACAGAAATGTTGAGTTCATTAGGATGAAAAACTGACAGGTCATCGTTTACAATGTTGTTGCATTTCGACTCTGGGTAAATTTGAGTAACTTCATCAAATTGAGGGGAGTTGCAACTTGCAAGCATGCCTAGTGAGATTAAACAACAACTACAACAACAACAAAGCCTTATCCCACTAAGTAGAGTTGGTTGTATGAATCCTAGAACGCTGTTGAGCCTGGTGTTGTGCCTAGTCTTTTGTTAGCTCCAAGAACTTCATGTCTTTTCTTCTATTAAACTGTAGACAATTTTGGTTTTGTTTGGAATAATTGAAGCTTATATAAAAAGTATTCGAAAGCATAAACTATATTTACATAAAAACAAGTTAACAGATTTCCCACAAGTTTATCATATTTTTCATACGGAAGAAAGGTCGTGTATTCCTCTTATTGTCCCTACTATCGTCGTATCTATGCATTTTCTCAAGTTTTGCATTGTGCTTTCTAGTGTTCTTTTTTGGTTCGTAGTGTCATCTCTTTCAGTAACATGGACAAATTCATCATGCATACGAGAAAAATTTGATCAAAATAATCAATTTTCCAACATTACTTGCTGAAATGTTCAGTTTTTTAGTATTGCCTAATAATTCTGATGGTTTTGATGATTTAGGAACTGGCGAATTCCTTGGGTGTGCAAATTCGGCAGAGCCTATCAAGTTTTCTGGACGCAATTGCAAAAGTACTTGTCGAGCAGATGCGCATACAACTCCATGCTGAGACTTCTCATAAATGACTTGTATTCTAATCAGACGTGTAGTCAATTCTGGGACTTCCACATTTTAGTATTGTCTTTGTGTGTCCAAAATTGTCCTCAACTTATTTGGGATAAATAACATATGACGCTTTACCGCAGAGGCGAAAAGCATGCACCATGGTGCGCGTTCGATTCTCATCGATCCCCCTTCTCCCTGACAATTAACCATTTAATCCACTCATGACATTGTTTGTCATACAAATGTTTTAAGTAACAGAAAAAATAAATAGATATAGAAGGTAATTTGTTTCAGGTCACAAATGTTCATGCAGATTCAACAAATAACATTACACAGGAAAGGATTTAACCATTAGTACATGAAACGTACACAGAACCAATCGGCGAACCAATCGAGAAAAGTGAAGAACTCCTGGATCGACGGAAATGGATGAGCAACAAAACACAACAGCATTACCGTCGAAAAGCATTGCGCTCACTTGCTTCGGGCCTGCCTTGCAAATAATGTGTTCGGCGACGTACACTCTCCTCAATTGTTGAGCTTCCACCCTTCTCGGCACCATAAACACTAGTTTGAACAGCATCCAAGAAATTCCTACCGCCGGCGTTGACAGCCCGTGTGGCTTCCTGGGCATCATTCTCCGCAGCCTTTTTCAGTCGTTTCCATCTTTGCTCTTCATGCAACTCAGCATCCATTTGCATCTCCCTTAGCCGAGCAGCTCGCTCTTCTTCTGAAAGTTTAGGAGCACCATTCCTACGCTTATATTGTGATTCATTCCGACCTTTCACGGAATATTTTTCTACGTCTGAACTGTCATTTTTCCCCTTGACAACCCCTTGCCCATCCTCTCTGGCAACTTTTATAGAGTGATTCTTCTCACCCCTATGTGCTCTGTCACGTGACACATCTTCAAAATCTGAATGCTTAACATGGTTCTTCTCACTTCGACGAGCTCTCCTACCCGATTCATCTTCAGAATCTGAATTCTTAACATGGTTCTTCTCACTTCGACGTGTTTTGTAAAGTGATTCATCTTCGGAATCTGAATGATTAACACGCTTCTTCTCACTTCGATGTGCTCTGTAATGTGATTCATGTTCAAAATCTGAATGCCTAACGGGGTGCTTCTCACTTCGACCTGCTCTGTAATGCGATTCGTCTTCTGCAACTAAATGCTTAACATGGTTCTTCTCACTTCGCCATGCTCTGTAACGTGATTCATCTGCGGAATCTGAATGCCTAACAGGGTTCTTCTCGTTCCGACGTCCTCTGTCACGTGATTCATCTTCTGAATCTGAATGCTTTGCATGCTTCTCACTTCTACGTACTATTTTACGTGATCCATCTTCGGAATCTGAATTATTAGCATATTTTGATATCTTGTGATGACTACTCTTCCTCCTTTCCACTTCAACAGTTTCATTTTCTGAATCGGATGCTTGTTTGGATGATGAGTGCTTGCGGTGTTTGGATGTGTGATGGCGCTTCTTCCGAGGTTCCTTCTTGTCATCTTCTTTCTCTGAGGGCTTCTTTGCGTCTACCTTTTATTGCAAAAAATAAAAATATGGTCAGCACAAACATACCAGCTCTAAATAAAATCTGGTGTTAAAAGGCCGTGACATTTTTTTTCCCTTATTTCAATGTTTCAAACATTGTAGCTTGAATGCTTCTCTTAAACAAATCATAAGCATCTGTAAAACCCTGATAAACATAGCAAAAGACTCAAAATGGGCATAGCAATAAATTGCCAGTGTTTGCTGGGGGCGAAATTCATGCCCTGTGAACAGATAATCTTCTCAAGTAAAAAAATTGGAAACAACGAAGACTTGTAGACCTACCAAGAGCATAATCCATAGGACAAAAAGGACTTCCTCTGAATAGAAGGCTAGCTATAGTGATGTAGAACCAGTATCAGATTTTAGGGTTTTGTAATTTGAAGGCAGAAAAGAGAGGTAGGAAAAGAAGAATTACAAGGAGAAGATCGCAGGAAGAGAATAGGCTGCTTGCTTAATCATTCAAACCAGTCTATATTGAGTTACAAAGCCTCTATTTATAATAATCTAACCTCATAGCACAATAGGACAGTAATCGTAATCCCACTCGAAAAAGTAAAGTAATCATAATCCTAGATGAAATAGTGGGGCACATGTGCAACCAATCCCACATCGAACATCAAGCGCAGAAGAATGGTGTTATATTAAACCCAATGACTCGGACACGACACGGACAATGCCCCATTAAACCTGGTAACTTGGGCATGGCACTGACCCATAGGACCCACAATCAAAACCCGCTCTGATACCCTGTCAGATATATAGAGAGACGGGCCAATGGCCCACCCTAACTACCCTGATACTATCCCAACTTAACCACATATTGCTAGGTGTTGTGTTTTACAACAAAAGACCTCGATGTTATTAGAGTAGAACCAATACACATATATATTGTATTTATATTCTCAATTCTCTCTCTTAGGCCCTGAAACCTCTGCATCGAACCAAACTAGCATTGACGACTAAATTTTACATCTACAGTTTTATTGTCTGCATTGAGAGAGGCATACTTGTATGTAATTTGGACACTTTCAAATCATCAATTCATTTATAATTACTTTGTCTAACATAATAACTAATCTAATCTATTGTTGGTTAGAGAAGAAAAGAAAAGTACTGGTAAAAATAAAAATTAGAACTTACAGATTTGCGAATCATGGCCATCTGGACAGGATTGTTTTTAATACGAGAGGGCTTCCTGCTCGCGCTGCCGGATCATAAGCAAAGGATCCGAGTGGAGCTTCCTCCAAGCATCGTTGGCAGATTGGGGCTTTTCTTCGAAGAGAGCTCCCGGAGCAGTTGGCTGCTGCTGCTGAATCAGTAGTCACAGACAAACAAAGGATCATTAGAAAACGCGAACAGAAGATAGATGCATACAATTGGGAAATTAAAGACTTGAAATATCATTATACCTTGGCGGGGGCGGGGGCGGCGGTAGAGGAGGAAGGCGGTTCTTCGGGCTTGGGTAAGTTAAAAGCATCGGAGCCGCCAGGGCGCCCAACGGACAATCCGGAATCGTACAAGAACTCTAATCGCTCTTGCTTTCTGCAATTAACAATCGATTGGAGTTGATTAGGGAATTAACTCGGGAAATTAAAAAAAAAAAAAAACCAAAAACCCTAACCCTGAAAAGAAAACTGAAAGAAGGAAGAAAGAGAATGGAATTGCTTACGGGACGAGGCCGGCTTGCACCTGGAGAAGGCGGAACTCGGAACGCTCGCGCTCCTCGACGATCTGTTTGCGGAGCTCGTCCAACTTCTTGTCTTCGGCGTCGCGCTTCTGCTCCGCCTTCCAGACATTCTCGATGTTCCGAAGGCTGCCTGTGTGCCATCCCTTCTTGTTCAAGAATTTCAACGCCATTCTTCTTCTGCAGAGGAGGAGCAGGCGGCGGCTGATTCAATTTCTTTGAAGTGATCAAATTTCAAACTCCCACACTCGCAATCAATCTCTCTTGTTCCTCACCCTTCTCGTTGCCCGTATGTGTTTTGGAGAAGATACAGATATTTTAGTTTTTTCGAACCCTGGTTATTATTGTTCCAAATTTGTATGTGGCCCTTCGATGAATGAAATTCTACCGTTTGAAGGAAGGAAAACAAAACTAGAACTCCAATATTAACTATGACACAAGTACTTTACATAAAATTTCATTTTACTCCTTACGTTCTACTTTGTGTCACATGTAACATTTTATAAAATTGAACTTTAACGAAAAGCTTCTGGTACTGTTTATTTTAACGAAAAATAATATTTTTACATTAAAAAGTCAATCATGGTACTATTCATTTTAGCCTTTATTTTGTCCTTATTGTTAAAACTCAAAGTTTTTGAGCATTTTTTCATTAGTTTTTCTTTTAGAAAATGATTTTTGATGAATTGGGTAAAAGGATAACGACAAATAGAATTTTTAATTTGAAGATAATATATTAGAATGAAAACATTGAAAACGTGTTACGCGCAACATCTTAAATGCAATACACACACACACACACATTCGTCTTTGGTAGTAATAGCGACCTACAGTAGTTGAGACAAGACGAAGCAATGGTGGTTAGAGTGGTGGTACTGGTAAACGACAATAGAGGTGTTAGTAATGGTGGGATTTAGGTGGTGACAACAACAAAGTATCGGGCAATGGTGACATGGTGGTGGTGGCAGCGATGATGAAAAATAACGGTTGTGTTAACAATGATTGTGAAAATGGTGGTTGAGAGGTGGCGGGGATGATGGTGGCAGAGATTGTGGAGGTGGTGGAGGCCATGGTGAGGGTAATGGGTTGAAGAATGTGGTGATGGTGGTGGTAATAGTTGTAATGGTGGTGGCCCCAACGGTGAGATGGTGGAGGTACTAATAGCATAGTGACATACATGATTTTTTTTTTTTTTTTAACTCTAACTTCTTTTATAGTGTATCTTTTATTTTCTATTATTTTGGAATTTATTCTTAAAAAACAAAGAAAACATCAATTTCATGTTTAATAGAACTTTGGCTAAAATTATTTTACGAGTTTTTTGTTTTTTGAGTTTATTTTCACAAAATAGTTTGCCAAACGCATTTTCACCCGTTTTCATTCTTTTGTTTTATAGAACTTTGACTTATAGCATAATAAAAAACCAAAACTCATTTCTGTTTGATTGATTTTGTTTTCATTCTTTTTTTATTTATTCCTCACTCTCGTCCCCCCTTCTTTGTTCTACCTTTCCATCGTATACTTTCATCACACCCCAAGCACAAAAAACTAAAAATTAATAACGAAATGGTTATTAAACAAACCCTAAACTGAAGTCGGTATGCGGCCAACATATATCTGCCGCTGCCTTCTTTCCAGAAGTATTTAGTTTCGTTTGCACAAGCTAGGGAAAACGCACGCTCAAATATCACACACCAAGTAGCAACCTGATTTGCACCAAATCTCACTAACATCCGAGACTTCCACCATTTAAAATACCTCACGGAATCAACAAGTATGAATCCATATGACATTAAACTAAAATAGGCAGTGCCTGTTCATTAGGCAATCAATATAGCAAAAGATGAGAATGGGAGTCAACTTCCACCAAAAGATGAAGTTATCCTATGACTGCAACCACACAGAAGACTCGTGATTCTGCAGATAAAATCTCACCTCGGCCAAGATTAGCAGTCATGTTATCTCTATCCTCTCGCTGTAATATTCCTTGAACGACCAATTTCTAGAGGAGAGGGACCAACATTTAATTTGGAAGCACCATGAAAAGGAGGATCTTGACGTAACATCACACAAGTAGCGTGTAACAAAAAGGCGAAACATATAACCACTCATCCATAGAAGTTCAATTACATATTACCACTCTTCATCAATATAAATTTCAAACCATTCTGCACATGAAGCATGTAGTTTAGGATGAAGAACCTCAATCCTTTTTGGACCATTTCCTCCTTTTCTAGACCAGGCATCAATCCTTTTTGGACCATTTCCTTACCAAGCTACAAAGCTCCATCTAATCTATCTTCAAATTCTTTGCGAACCTCATCTGTCATCCTTCCATTGCAGAGAGCACCGGAGAGTATCTTCAAAGTTATGAAATTAGGTAAGATTCCATGGCAAACCATTTCATCGAACAACCTTGTGGCTTCTCTCCATTGGCTGGTCCGGCACAATCCATTAATTAAGGAGTTGTAAGTCACACAATTAGGCCTTTCACCTCTGCGGACCATTTCTTCCACAAGATTCAGTGCCTCTTCTGTCCTCCCTTCCTTGCATAAAGCATCCAGAACAGCATTATGTAACAATATCAGGCAAGACTCCATAATCAATCATGTTTTTAAATAACCTCACACCTTCGTCCCAGTTACCAGACTTGCATGAAGCAGAAATCATGGAATTAAAAGTGAAAACATCAGGCTTTATACCTTTCTCAGTCATTGTTCCAAACAGAGTAAGTGCTTCTTGAATTCTTTCTTCCTTGCAAAGAGTGTTCAGCAGAACATTATAGGTGTATACGTCGGGTGAAATTCCACTGTTAAGCATGCAAATCAAGAAGCTCTTGGCTTTTTCATACCTCCCCGATTGGCACAGTCCATAAATTAGAGTGTTGTAGGTGACAACATTAGGCTTGACTCCTTGATCTACCATTCCTTCAAAAAGAGAGAGCACTTCTTCCCAGCGACTTGTGTTGCATAACCCATGAATCAATGTGGTATAATTGAAAATATTTGGTACAACACTCTTGCTGATCATATCGAAATAGGGTCAAGGCCTCGTCTATTCGTCTTTCTTTACAGAGGCTATCGATGATTGGATTATAGCATTCTTGGTTGGGGTTGAACCTTCCACCTTCCCACATCTTCGTAAGTATCTCGAGCGCCTTAGAAGTTTTCCCAGCTTTGCATAGTCCATTGATCATGGTAGCACAAGTGATTTCATTGCATTTGTATCCTTTCGTTTCTATTTCCTGGAAGAACTCCATTGCCTCGGCCAGGGAACTGTACTTCCAAAGCCCGTGAAGCAAAGTATTTATAGAACATGCATCGGGCTTAAGACCATATTTAAGGGTAATTGCTAAAACAGAGAAACAAGCGTTCACCCGATTCAGCCGGCACAAGCAATTCAGAAAAATATTCATTGTACCTACCTCAGGTCGGAATTGAGTGCAATCCATCAACTGTTTACACATAGAAACCACAGCAGAATATTGCTTCATCTTGGAGAGTGCCCCAAACAAACAATTGAAAGTCCAAATCGAGGGCAAGGGTTTGGTTTGAATCATAGAATTAAAGTAACCCAATGCTTCATCTTTCCTAATTTTTCCAGATTTGCATCGAGTTTGGATCGTACTCTCCGGCACCAAATGGGTTTGTTTAATTCTATCCTTACAAGTAGGATTAGCATGAACAGCATTGGAATGAAATCCCCTACTTGTATTCTGCAGACTGGTAAAAAAGAAAGAAGGAAGATTACCTGGAGATGGAGGTCTTGTGGTTATCCTCTTCATCTTCATTTGAAAGCTCTCTCCTGTTTTTCTTGGGGTTCGAGGACGATTTTGGTATAAAGGCAAGGATTTGGCTCCATATGAGAGCTCTCTCCTGTTTTACTTCGGTTAGTTTTCAGTTCTTAGAATTCTTTGATTTTCGTTTACGGAAAACTATTCTGCATAGCTCAGGCTAGGAGAGAAACCTACACTATAACTATGTACTTTTATTATTTTAATTTTATTTTGGATTTTCGTGTCAATTTTATATTTTGGATGTTCAATTGAATTTCTTATTTAAACTAATTTCAGATTGATGAATCTCTATTAATTAATAAAACACTCATTGTCAATCAAATTTCTATGAAATTATCAGTTTAACTATTTAATTAAAATAGAACATGAATAAGAAATATGGGGCATAAATGTAATTTCACACAACCAAATTTTGCTAATTTTTTTTCAAAACCTCACCTACATGTAATTCTAATATATCTCTAATTAAATAAAAAAATTCCCACTCTCACATTCTCTATCACTCTCTTCCTCTCTCCTTCTATTTCAAAAACAAAAATAAACAATTTTCTTAAACACTTTGTGTGTGCCCATATTCTAGTATTAATTATGATTCATAAGATCAACCATGTTTTTTCTTTTTTCTTTTTTTTTTAAATTTTTTTTTAGTTTTGTTTCAACAATTATGCTTGTAGTGAAATGCATAAATTGGTTGATTAGTATGATTTTGACGGCATAGTTTTTTTTATATTTTGTCGTCGTAGGTATAAACTATTCTTAGGGTTTTGAGTAAAATGTAGCAATAGTTTCTTAACTTTAACTCAATTACAGCAATGGTCCCTCAACTAAAAATTCATTATCATTGGTCTCTCAACTCATCAAAATGTGTACATTTTGATGAGTTGAGGGACCAATGATAATGAATTTTTAGTTGAGGGACCATTGCTCCACTTTGATTAAAATTGAGGGATCATTGCTACAATTTACTCATATTTCTATAAGAAATCTAAAGGGCTTTTTATAGTTCGAACATCCAAAATGGAGATTTAATCACCAAAAGCTTTTATATTGAGAAAACTTAATTGTCATATCTTTCGATTGAGAGAGCACGTTGTTTGTGTATCAATTGAGTTATAAAAAATGAATCGAAATAGTGAAATTGCATAATTGTATAGGCTTATTATATTAACACCCAACAAATTGTTGAATAAACCTCACATACTTAATACACCCCACATTTGCTTTTTCACTTAAAAATTATCTTAACACACCCCACATACTTTTCCATAATACCCCAACACCCCACATTCTCAATATACACCTTATATTTTGTGCATACACTCCACATTTCTCAAATCTTATAACATTCATTTTTAATTTTCAAGGACTGAATCTAATCGTTTGAACGTTTAGTTTGCTGAAAGTGGCAAGGCCTAGAGTTGTGAGGCAACGTATGCAGGGCGTCCTTGTACTAAATTTCGACTAATTACAGCAGTACCATTTGATGATGTTCTTAACCAGAGCAAGTTGTCAATACCAATTCCACCCAAGACAAAACCCGAAATCAAGACAATACTGAAAACAATGAACAAGATCATATACATTTAGGAAATCTCAACAACAACAGGCGCTGCTGCTAGCTTATAGTAATAGCTATTCCCAGACAAGTAGTACAAGCAAACCAAACCTCTATTAAACTCAAGAAAATAACAATTGAACAAAGTATCTATCCATCCATCCAACATATATGAATGACGACGGAGGAGCTTATTCCAAGATAGACATGACATACGAACACAGTGCTGAAACTCAAGGAAATATAGACATGACATACGAAGGAGCTTAATAATCATGCAACAGCTGCATGTAATGCAATCTTCCCAATTCCCCAGCTATTCCTCAGCAATTCAGGATGATGATATTGTCTCGTGGGAGGGGTTTCCTTTTGAATCCGCACTGGGCACTCAAAGTACATATGTTGACCTTCCACTCTACAATATCTACATGGCACGTTAAAAGCATGCAACCTATCATGCCCGCATGAGTTATCATACTGACCACAAAACAAATAAACCAAACGAAAGCCCCCGCCAACACTAGTTACGTTTCTCGGGACAAACCTCCTGTATAGGCAAAGTCCACAAGGGTGGCGACCCTTACAACAGACTGGTATTAATCCTTCAATTATGATTATAATGTTTGTTCTTCATGTAATCCTTGTGATCCTTAAAAGATGAATATGAATATAAAAGTTTAAATAATGCAACAAACGCAAGATTAAATAATTATTGATGTCGTCGAAATCACTAAAACAATGAAAAATATGAAATCTTACCTCATGTGAAGTTTCCGAAACATCGATTTTGTGTTTCATTCGTCAAAAGCAATTTTTCTCGACCAACATGTTTATAATTTCATTGGTTAGAGTTTTGTTTAACAATGGAGGGTGTGAGGATTTTGATAATTGAAAAGATAAATAATACGGTGAAAGTGATTTGGGGTGTATTTAGAAATTTTTATTTTCTTAAAACCTAATAAGGTTGAAATTGTCATTGTATAGTGGGGTAAATAAGTCATTTAATATTAAATTTGAGTGCTACTAAGCCCAACCCCTTTTCTTATCTTCCCACCCCACTTATTTTGTCACCCACTATTAAAAGTAAAAACAATGACATACTATCTCTACACCCACCTTTATTCCTAAAATAACCTTAATATTTTAAATTCCTAACAATAAATAAAAGATAAAATAACAATTATTTAGTTTAATCTACTCATGATTTGTGGAAAAAAAAAATCATGAATTGGGCAATGGAAATTTTTTGGTGATACCAATGGAAAACTTGAGATCTCATTTTGTATCCTAGCTGGAGAAGGTTGTTGTGGGTTGGGTCTGGATGAGAGAAGATGTCGCGTGCACGGCGCATGGAACAGGCGACACGTTCCAGTCGGGTTGCTCATATGGAGGAGTTGCGCATGTCGCCTCTTCCCGGATCTGCAGAAGGCCGGCGTGCAAATAACAGGTTTGTGGGTTCGTAGTGAGTGTTTTCGCCGTGAGATTTATCTTCGCATGAAAGAAGTGGAGGAAGGCGGGGAGCACCAATACTAAAACAATGGTTGTCTCAATGGATATGGAAGAAGAAGAGGAAAAATAATGGAAGGGGATGTAGGGGACAACGATCTGGGCATGGTTCTGATAGTATTCTTCCTCCTTTTTTTTTCTAAACTTTTTATTTTTATTTATATATATATATATATTCAAATTGAATTTTTTTAGGTCTTACTTTGTCAAAATCCTTTTTTGTTTAGGTCCTTCAAAGTCATTTTGCAAGAGGATAAATTTGTAAACAAAATATTTAATTTGGAGTGGGTGGAGAAATAAGACATCGGAGTGGGGATAGCAACACTCTTAAATTCTAATGTGGGGTTCATTCAACATTTTGTGGGATGTTAATATAAAAAGTTATTGTATATAGGCAGAACCCAAATGCTTTAATGTTGCATTGAATTTTTCTTCTAGAAGTTCCATCACATTATGCAGAATGTGGTTATTTGGATTAGGGGTGGGTTCAAAAAACCAAAAAAACCGAACCGAACCGAATTGAAAAAACCGAACCGAACCGAACTCTTTTGGTTCGGTTCGGTTTTGGTGGTCTAGAAACCGAACCGAAATAATTAAATTAATATTTTTTAAATTTTATTTATTTAATTATTTGATTTTATTATATTAGAATATGATACTTCGGACTGCTACTTTGGTAGGACTTGTTTGCTTTCCAATTCAAATTGTCTTCTCAGCTTCTCCATCTACAACAAAAATTAGAACTTATACCATTACATGCAATATTTCTAGTTTATATCATTAAGTGCAACACATATATAAGAACACATATCTCAACTGCACTGCAGTTGATTAGGGAAAACAAACAGCGTATAAAAGTTTCATGAGTTTATTAAACACTACGAGATCAAAAACAAAATTCAAACTTTCTCACCTATGGCCAAGTATAGTAGCTTCCGTGGCCTAACAATTTTGAAAAGTATATCAATATATTCAAAAATATTGATGTACACCTCTTCAAAATTTGCTGGTGGTAGAAGCTAAACACAGAATGTAGAAATTATATTGGGAACTTTAACGAAAAGCACCCGGTACTGTTCACTTTAACGAAAAACCACATTTTTACACTAAAAAGTCAATCCTGGTACTATTCACTTTACCCTTTATTTTGTCCTTATCATTAAAACTTAAAGTTTTCAAGCCCTTTTCATTAGTTTTCCTAATTATATTATGTAACCACATATATGGATATAAAAAATCCGGACCATAAAGATAAAGAAAATATCAAAAATTGTTACCTAGACAATAATCAAAATAAATAGTATATTATAGAATGTTTATCTTATTGCTAGTGAAGAATACATGTATATATATATATATATATATATATATATAGAGAGAGAGAGAGAGAGAGAGAGAGAGAGAGAGAGAGAGAGAGAGAGAGAGAGAGAGAGAGAGAGAGTGAGAAAGAGAGGAATGAATAAGGTCGTACTCCATCATCATCGTCTAAAAAGAAATCTATTTACAGTTAAACTTTAAACCCAAAATATTAAAAAAAAAACCTTTATGTTATAATTCTAGTTGAACTTTAAATGTTTATTTTCATTATCTTTAAGTCTAGTTGGAATATTTATGTTATGATTGTGTTGGATACGTTAAAATTTAAGATTTCAAATTTTTTTTCATTTTTTGAAAAAAAACCGAAACCGAACCGAAAAAACCGAAAAAAATTTGAACCGAACCGAATCGAACCGAAATTTCGGTTTTGGCAAAAAACCGAATCGATTTAAACCGAACCCACCCCTAATTTGGATATTCTTTTTTCAAATGCTTTCCTTGTTTTTTTCTTTTGAAAACTGGAGATATATTACCAAGGCACAAAAGTCAGAGAACTACGAAGAAAAACCTAAAGCAAGGCTAACACGCAAACCACACAAACAAAACAAAGCAGAAAAGGGGATAAGAAGAAAGACGCAAGAACCAAGTTCTCGCGTCTCCCCTTCAACTGCCCCAACAAAAACATCAAGGGGAACAAAGTAATCCATCTTTATTTAGCACAAGAACCAAGGAAAATCTATTGGGAAGTTGCTCGTGAGTTCATAAAAATAAAACCATAAG